TTATTAATTTATTTACTAGTTTGATTGTTATATATATATATATATATATATATATATATATATATATATATATATATATATATATATATATATAAATATATATATATAATAGTGTATAAAAAAAATTACTATTTTAATTTATTTACTAGTTTACTAGTAAATTCAATATATATATATATATATATATATATATATATATATATATATATTGAATTTGTTTTTAGGAAGATAGAAATATAGTATTTGAATTTGTACTAGATCAAATGCTTTTGACCCCAATCCTGATGTTAATTAATTACTAAATTATAATATTTTATTTTAATATTATAATTATCAATTATTAATTGATTAAATGTATAATTGTCTTTATATTAGAGTTTGAATTTTATTTAGTTTTGAGTGTGAAGCATAAATTAATATTGAATGAAAAAAGTTAATAAACATACCAAGTCAGGAAAAACCTTTTTTATATCTACCGAATTTTCGTGGAAAGGACAAATCAAATCTTTTTTATTCTTTAAACAGTCTAAAGCATGTTCAAACTCAAACAATGACAAGTTAAAACTGCTTGATTGAGAATTATTTTCTATTGCATTCTGAATGCAAAGATTACAAAAAGAAACTCTTTCAACATATTTTGTACTAAACTTTGAAAACCAGTCAAAAAGTAGTTTATCAATACAATCTACTGAAGTAACAAATATTCTGCAAGCCTTTATAAGATTATTGTATGTATGGCTGGTAACTTCGAAATTGCTAATGTTGTGAGCCATAGATTTATCTTGAATTCCTGATGCAGTAACAGGCAATTCTTAAATAAAAATAAAAAATAGAACTAAATTATGACAAACTATGACATATTGTAACATAATTTTAAAAAATTAGAAAATTCATATTCAAAGATCAAAATCCAAATCATTAAAAAAATAAAAAATAAAAAGTTTTACAAGTTTTGAAAACATTTTTCAAAACATGTAAAATGCTTATAATTAATGATCAACACTACTGCTGCTGTTACTCATTCATGTGAGTTTGACACGCATGTTTGACACAAATGTATCTGCTTATAATCATTTATAAGATCTTAAACCTTTACATTAGATAATAACTATTGAATTAAAATTCTGTAGTAGTAGATAAACCTTAGGTTGTTTTTAAACTAGTAAAAAAACTTTTAAAGTCGGTAATTTATCGAATTCATGCATTTCAATAATAAAACAATTCAAGTCCTTTTTTAATTGTATTTAAAGTATATTTATCTGTATTTTTTATTTTTAAAAACTCGAAGATGATGCTCTTTTTAAAGGTATATTATTTTTTATTTTTTAAGAGATCGAAGACAATGCTCCTTTTTAAGGCCAAACTTTTGATAAAGTTGGTATTTATCTCAAAACCTCTTGATTTTCACATGGTCAACTCTATGTTGCTTGTTCAAAAATAAGAATGTTTGATAGCTTACTTTTTAAAATTGAGGAACATTTATTACAAGTATGTCATTTAATAAATGCTACACAATATTTTATTTACAAATGTATTTATCTACAAACAAATATTGTTTTACTATTAAACATCACACTTTTTATAAATAATTAAACGAAACAAATTTTGTTACTGGAAACCAGTTGATGTTACTAAAAACCTGATTGTTGTTATTAAAAACCCAGTTGTTATAATAGATTTTAAATAACTTTAAAAATATCACTAATAAAAATTACTGAAAATCTGTTTGCTTTTATAATATAATAAACCAGGTTGTTTCATTGTTTCCATGGTTTCATTGTTTGTTTCATTGTTTGTTTCATTGATTGTTTCTTAAGGTTGTTTCATTGTTTGTTTCTTAAGGTTGTTTCATTGTTTGTTTCTTAAAGTTGTTTTATTGTTTGTTTCTTAAAGTTGATAAATATACATTACAAGGTATGTCATTGACCAAATATTGCACAAATAAGGTTGTATTTGTAAATGTTCCTTATTTATATTTTTTCTTTATTTATATATTTAAGTATTTTTATGTGTCATGATGTGGTATTGTGTGTTATTTATTGTGTTTATATGTGCTACAGTTATATGGGGTTATATTTTGTAAGTGTTTATTTGTCATAAATATACACATATCTATTATATATGAAGTGTTTTTATGAGTGATTTGTGTTATAATATTATATGTTTATAGTTTGTAAGTGGTAATGTTATTTCCATGGTTTCAAAGTGTTGTGACTTGGCTTAGTTTACAGCAAAAGTGCTGCCTTTGCTAGCCAAGTAGTATACTTTGCTAAACTTTGTTGAAAGCAAAAATAATTTCCTTACCAGCCGAGTGGTGTACTGTCAAAATGAATCACATAATTAAATCTGATTGTAGTTAGTGTAATCATAAAACAATTTAAATTAGAAAACATATTTCAGAAGATACTTCTTATAGCCCGTACGATGAAACAACGGTAACATCAACAAGTGCTTCCCCAACAGAAATGGAAGTGATATCTGCTAATGGTGAATAAGTGATTTGTAGCTTTTATAGGTTATTTCTATTAAATATTAAAAATAAAACTTTAGAATTTTATTTGTTACTTCTTATTTTTTAGATTTACCATATGCCTTTTTGGCATTTAGAAGATTGAATAACTACATTGATTGATTGCTTTTATTGTATTTTTAATATTTTTTTTTATATAGCTTTCAGTTGCTTCTGCTATTGGTACAACAATTAAGTTGTTGTACTTACTTATACTTGACTTATTGCAATAATTGATTGCTTTTATTGTAATTTTAATTTTTTTTATGTAGCTACAGCTTTTTGTTTCATTATATATATATATATATATATATACACAAATAGTATTGCGTACTAAGGTAAGCAATCTGACGTCATACTGAAATAGCCTGCTGCTGTGGGCTTCAGTACATACATCGACTGACAAATAGCCTGACTCGCAGTGGAGTGCTGCTACATCGACTGAGGGTTTGGGATGGAGCAATCGTTTCATTCATCATTCTTTGTTTTTTTTCTTCTTTTTCTAAAAAAGCGGTATAGCTTACGGTAAGCAAAAAAAGTGAGCAAATGCTTATCAAAACACGCTTTAGTAAGTGTGTATATATATATATATATATATATATATATATATATATATATATATATATATATATATATATATATATATATAAATACATTACAAGGTATGTTCTTAAACGAATATTACACAAATAATATTGTATTTGCAAATGTTCTTAGTTTATAGTTTTTGATAAGTATTTTTATGTGTCATATGATGTCGTAATGTGTATTTTCATTATGTGTTTATCAATTTATATAAGAATATATGGGTTTATATTTTGTAAGTGTTTCTATGCGTGTGCTGTTAGTAATTAAAATATGTACAATGAACTCTGGATAACTCAATAGGCCTCAATTTCTTGAACTAAATTTAAAATTTCAGTTGAGCCTTTATTTATGGATTATTCTGCCATAAACTCTAACATTCTCTAACAAGCTAGTTTCTTGGTTCCTTGCAGGTTTGAGTTTTTGAGAGTTTACTGTAATATGTTATGCTATTTGTTAATCTTGTGATGTTATTGTTGTGTTGCTTTGTGTTGTCAGAAGACTTGGTATACCTTCACGTCGGTGTCTATAGTTAAAAATAATTATTGGGTAGTTTCATAACTGAATTTGGCTACATATAATTATTCACTAAAAGCCAAAATTAAAAAATCACTAAAATTTTATATATGAATGGAAACCGTTAATACTTTTATCACCTTAGGTGGTTAGGATCTAGACAGTTTCCATATGCATTGGGTATCAATTTGCAGTACAAACAACAGGTATAGTAATAATTTAATACATTTGACTTTTTTTGCTATGTTTTTTATATTTCCATAAAATATATATAAAATAAAATAACATTAAAAAAAAACAAAAAAACAAACATAATAAGTTATACACTTTATTTGCTAAATTTAAAATTAGACCCCAAGAAATAAAGAAATCATTTTAATAACAATGTGCAAAAGAAAACAAATTTATAATAGTTTGAAAGAAATTACCATATTTTCCAATAGGAACTGTTATTTCAACAACTGTTTTGTTGTTCACAGATCTTGGTTCAGAACTTGAAACAACTTTTGCTTCTGAGGAAGCTAAAAAGAAAAAGAATTTGACATAAGTAAAAATTCTTAAACTTTTTTGAAATATTTAAAATTAAAAGTTTGTTTGGTCTCTGGTTTCCATAGTTGCCTTAATAACAGTTAGTAAACAATTAGTATATTATGCATTATATTTAACTAAGTTTAATTTTTAATTACATTTTTATTATGCTTTAGTTTGATAATTTTAATCGTTATTAATTACAGTTTTCTGTTTAAATTTATTATCAGTTAGTGGATAACTTAATTTATGTGTGACTAAGAGAAACAACCTTGATTTGATTTTTAATAAATAAATAAAAAACTCTCTAACTTTTTATATCATGACCTTTATGTAATACTTTTAAATGCTTATGTGACACTTTTAAATGCTTATCTGATATTTTTTAATGTTTATATAATACTTTTAAATGCTTACGTAATAATTTTAAATGTTTATGCAATACTTTTAAATCATATGTAATGCTTTTAAATGCACTTTATTTATAATAATACATGCACTTAAATTGTGCAATAGAGCATGTGTAGACAAAAAATTTTAAAGGGTCAAACTTAAAAGGTCACTTGGTGACCCTTTAAGTTTGAAATAAGATAAAAGAATCATTAAAGCAATACAAGAAAAAAAACTTAAATCTAAAAAAAAAAATTTAAATAAAAAAAGAAATATAAGAAAAAAGTGAAAAGCTGAAAAAGTAAAAACAGATATAATGACATAAAACATATCATAAAAAGTTAGAAAATAATATTTTTCTTTTCTTTTCTTTTTTTTTAAAAGAGATAGTAAAATTACTCTAAAATAATAGTTGTTTTTACACTGTTAAAATTTTAGTGAATCCCCTATTTTTGATCTATTAGCATCTAAAAAATAACAAGTTAGAGGTAAAAAAGTTAAACAGGAAAATCTCTTGATAAAAAAACTTCTCATTATACTGTAAACTTAACTATAAAAGTTCCCGCAACAGTTCTTTTTTTGGAATTTCAAGAGATTTGCATCAATGGTTTGATTTTTCTTTCATGGAAAAGTTTTTGTCCTCTTCATCTTTTGGTAATATCTGAAAAAAATTCTACATGTTGATTTTTAATTATAATCAATAATATTTGAGCAAAGTTCCAGCTTTTTGAATGCTTTTTCTGTATGTGAAATAATTCTTTTTTTATTTTTTATTTTTATGTGATGATGCTGCAGTATGGTGTAATATTGTTGCGCTTTTGAAATTTTTTCTATTCCAGCCATTGAGCGTTTTTGAAGAAACATTTGTTAGCTTTTAAGGAATTCCTAGTCAATAGGTCATTTGTTATTACTAGCATTATTAAGTATCTGTGATATACCAAACAGACTGTTGAGTTTTAATTTGAAAGATGTAGTATGGTGGTCCACAATTAGATAAAAAAAATTGAAAGTGTTCATAACTACTCTCCAGGAGTCAAAATTTGTCACACTATATATAAAAAATACAAAAAAATTGGCCCAATTCAAACAATTCTAGGGGTCATTACAATTTCAACATTTTATCCAAGCACCTTATTTTGGACCGGATCTCATCCTTGCATAGAAAAAGAAGGAAAAGAGATCTTGTATAGAATCTAATGAAAATTGATAATTTAAGCGGCCAGAAAAGCAGCAGCAACTAGCAATACCAGAAAAGCAGAAAAGAAATATTTGTTCCTAGTTGCTGCAGCTTTTATGCCTTAGGATATATAAATATCTTTGGATATCTATATATCCAAATATATTTTGAATATATAGATATTCAGATATATACTGAAAGTATTTGGATATTTGGATATCTATATAAACAAATATCCAAATATTTTATGCCTTTGGATATATAAATATCTTTGGATATCTATATATCTAAATATATTTGGATATATTTGGATATATAGATATCCAAAGCAATTGTTTCTAACAACTAGGAACATTTGCTTTGGATATTGATTTTTTTTTTGAAATCTGAAGTGGATGACAACTTGAAGATAAAGACTTCAGAGTTCCATCATAATCTACTCAAATTCTATCTACCTTAAAGAGCTTTGGATTAAGTGAATCTTCTTGATCCTAGAGTTATGCATGTTTTTGAATCAGTAGCTAAGGTTTTAGGTTATCCTCTTGATAACCTGGTGCTATCTAGAAGCACCCTTAGAAGGTCTTGAATAGCTACTCAAAAACAAGTTAAATTATATAACATTTTTTAGAAACTTTAAGGCATTACTTATTAGTGTTGCTTATATACTAAGGTAGGCCTAGTTTTATGAATGTGTTTAACCTTTTACTGTAAACTTATACAAACTGAATTAATTTTGCAACATTCTTCAATGCTTTTGTAAAAGTCAAACATATTATGTCAATGTCATTTTTTCTCTAGGTTTTCAAGGTTTATAATTGCAATTTAAATTGCAAAGCGATGAAGCTTGTATGATGGCAATAATTAACTCTTATCAGAAAAAATAATTACATAATTTAGCATAAGACAAGCAAAGAAATGTCCTTTTTTGACAGAAGTTCTTCTTCTCAATTCGGATAAGAAATTGCTACCAAACATAGTTTGTGAAAAAGAAACCATCAACCAAATAACTTTGATTGTCATAGGGAATGGAATCAAATAGTTGTTGGCAGTCCTACAAATCAGAAGAAGAACTAGAAAAAAACAAACTGCTGCATGCTTAAAAGTCTAACTAAAAAATGCAAGAAAAAGGTCAAGGTCTGGTATTTGATACAATCTCCTCTAACACAGATATCCATTGGGAATTTACATTCTTATTAAAAAAACCTTTGCCCATGCATTTGTAAACATCAGATGCCGCCATCATGAATTGGAAGTTGTTCTGACTAGCATCTTCACATCTGTTTTTGATAAGATCCACAGACCTGAAGTTTATCTTTTTAAAATGTTCCAGAATAAGTGACCATACATCTGCAAAACAGAGTAATTTCCAGCTTAAGACAAAATTGTTAATGAGGATACAGAAACCTTTTGGAAGGAGATGATTACCTTTTACACCAGAGCCATAGGACTTAAGTAGACTTCCCAACAAACACTCTATAGCAGAATTTCAGCCGGCCTTTATAAGCATTTTGAGGGGTCCACTGTAGTTTTGCTCATTGGTTACTTAGTGGATCATAAGTGGCTGCTGCCAAAAGTGGCAGCCGCCAAAAGTAGTTAGCCAATAAATAACCACAATTATTATGTCAGAAAGTTATTGGCTGGCCATTTATTGTGGCTGCCACTAATGGTCCATTAAGTAACAGATGAGAAAAACTCTAATGAACAGCTCAAAATGCCTATATAGGTCCGCTGCAAGTCAACTAAAAAATGTTTGCTGGATCGGGAGAATTACCTCGAGCTTCTTCTGCTATGTCCTGCCATCCTTATTAAAGCAGTCTTAAAATTTCAAGTTAAGAGTTCCAAGAGTAATGCATTATACTTGATGGATGTCAAAAGACACCTATTCTCTCAAAATGCTTCTATTTGAATGCCAGTTGGAACTGACTGACTTAAAAAAAGCTTTAAACTTTATTTACTCAACATCTGTTGATTATTTTCTGAACACCTCATACGCCCAGCCTTCATAGACAATCATCTACCTCTAAATGTCAAAAGAGTCATGGCAGCAAACCTCAAGCTTCCAAAGACTTTGACAGCTCTGAAAAGAATATATTGTACAGACTTCAACAGTCTCCAAAAGTTTGTAACCCAAAGAACATTTTGTCTATTAAAAATGTTTAGTACCACTGGATAAAAGTCCAAGATTCCAAGATTCCACTGGATAAAAATCCAAGATTGTTGAAAAATACAAAAGAAAGGGAATCAGATGCTTGTTACCTAATTTGAAGGACCCAGCTGACAAGATGAAGGTGGTCCAATTTTGCAGAGTGTTACATCACTTTTATCCAGAAATACAATAAAAACCTTCACTAAAAACAAGGATTAAAAACCTGATTAAGTCATCCTTTAAGGCAGCCATGACAGCGGTAGAAAATATCAGAAAATACTTTTATGAAACAGAGTATACTTGGTTTTTACATTGTGTTGATATGTCAAACTTTGGAAATCATATTTAAAATTTAAATAAAAATTTTTAATATGAAAATATCAAATAAAAGTTTTTCTTTTTTGGCTGTACACTTAAGTCTACATTTTTATTTGTCCCTAAATATTATCCAATTTGCTCTAAGACTTAATTTTTTTAAAGCAAATTTTTCATATAATATTCTCTAATATTATATGAAACCAAATATGTCTTGTCCAGAACAGAATTGTTAAACTTCTACTTTTTTGTCCACCATAGGATGTAGTTTTACTATGCTTTATCTTTTTGCTTTATAAATTTTTTAGTGAATAATTCAACCATTAAACAAAATATCTGATCAACAAAGTCTTTCCTGCTAGATTTAGTTGGAACACAAGCAGTTAATCAAAAATTTTTATCTTCAATAAGATGATTTGCAAACGGTCTTTTTCTTTCCTTTTCCTTTTTATTTCTCTCAAAAAAAGAATACATTTTTGCAAAACATAACTATTCAATGTTAGTTTTCCTCAATTAAAGTTATCTTTAAAGAAAAAACAAACAATTTAATGATTTAAACATAAAGAACATCTGTTTCTTTTAGCTGCAATATTGTTTCTTACAGCAACAACTGAAATATTTATTGGATCAAACTAATGCTTTTTCCTGATCTGAGTACTGAGATTTAAGAAACACATTTTTATTGAGACTTTTACTAGATATACCAATCTTATTTGGTATGGTCATCGCTTAATTTAAGACTAGAGCTTATAATGCATGCATATATATGTATATATATATATATATATATATATATATATATATATATATATATATATATATATATATATATATATATATATACATATATTTATATATATATATATATATATATATATATATATATATATATATATATATATATATATATATATATATATATATATATATATAATATAAATATAACGTGTTATATTTATATATATAAAATATAAATATAACCCGTATATTTAAATTTTGTAGCATTGAAACAGTAAAGTATAAGAAACATTAAAGATTAGAAAAATTGAAAATCTAATTAAATCGTTAGAGGTTATACTTGTTAATGTTATGACAAGTAGTTAAAACAATTATTGTTTAAAGAAAATTAAGAAAAAGAGTTAATGACTAACATAAATGCAATTTAAAAAAAAAATAAGAGTAACTATATTGATTTCTGTTACACAACACCTATGTTATTTTATAACACAACATCTGTTACACAACATCTGTTACACAACACCTGTTACACAAAATCTATTACATAACATCTGTTACACATGTTATTTTATAACAAATCTTTTTAGATATAAGTACAGATAGTCTTAAGTTAATCAAACTTTGTATAAATATTCTTTAATGATTAATAAAAACATTAACTGAACCGCACTGAGAAATAATAACAAATGTGTATAAACATTACCCAACTTTTGCATAATCAAAATTTCAATGTCATATCGAAGATTTATAAATTGCATTAAATTTTTTATTTTTGGTACTTATCTTTTTTAAATCATCTCATCACAAGTAAAAACTCCCTTTTTTTTTTAATTGACTATCCTATTAATAGATAACAGCAGCACATTGGATAATTAATTTACTTGTTTAACAGCAGCACATTGGAGAAATAAATTTTAAGGATGCACTCTGTGAATCCTAAAAATTTATTTCTCCAATGATTCGGTTGATATTTGGTTCCAGTATGTTTATATGAATATGCAAAAGCATTTTTCTGACATTTCTATCTAACTTATCCCACAACAACTGGATTGGGTTTAAATCAAGGAAACCTTATATATTTTAGTTCTTTTTATTTTTCTTTGGCTGAAATATAGTTTTGGCAGAATTCAGAAGTGTGTTAAAGTTTGTTATCCTGTTAAAAATTAAATCTGTGACACATAATTCTTTTTCTGCGCAGAAATCTATTTTAGGAGAATATTGTGGTATTTTTTTTATCCATAATATCCTCAATTTGCACAAGGTTACCAACATTGCTTCCAGCCTCTCTCCCATACTTTACTGTTAGCACCAGGCATTGATTTATTATGCGTTCTCCAACTAACCAACAAACATAATGTTGACAAGTACCTCCAAAAATTTCCAACTTTGATTCATTTGTAAACAAGAGTTTAGACCATTGTTGAATTGTCCAATGTTTATGCAGTTTTGCCCATCTTTTAACTTTATTTATTTTGCATAACAATGGTTTTTTGGCAGTAACACATCCTTTCAAGCCGTATTGGCGAAGACATTTTACAGTTTTTTATGGTTGAAACAAATATTGGTGATTCTTGCATGGAATTAAGTTCTCGGAAAATTTCAGGAGCATTTTGACTACAATTTCTTTTACTTAGAACACAGATAAATTTGTCTTCATGACTCAGAGATGCTCTAGGCCTCCCCAAAATGATGACGACTCTTAGTACACACAGTTTTATGCTTTCTTTGCAATGCTCGCATGACTGCATTTTGAGAAACATTAGTTTTTAAAACAATTTTTTGTGTTAAACCCTCCTTGTGTATTAATAACATTTTTGTAACTATGTAACAACATTGTTATATAACAATCTTATATATATATATATATATATATATATATATATATATATATATATATATATATATATATATATATATATATATATATATATATATATATATATATATATATATATATTTATATATGGGCAATTCCTTGGCGCAAAATGAAAAAATAATCAAATTTTATTCTATTTTTTTCCAACTTTTAGCGAATGAATATTGATGTAGACACATGAAAGTTTGTTTAAAATATACCTTTAGCACTAAAATTAATTTATTTAAGTCGTTTTTAAGCTTCCGAAAGTTAGGTTTTTCTCATTGTCGCATGATAAAAAAGGTATCATTGTAAAATCTTATTCTAACCATGAATTTATTTGCATAATCGGAATTAAATTAGTGTGAAAATGGAGCTAACATGTTCAAATTGATATTGGTCAGATTTTATACTTAATAAAATATACATATTCTAAGAAAATAACAAAAGAACTTTTGCAATTTTCATGTAACGTAAGTTAAAAAAAACATGATAAAGTTTTGTTTGTTATAAATTTAGTTAAAAAACTTAGTTTTTTAATAATATATGTGAAAAAATATTAAATGTAACATTTTTGCATTTGAAGTGTTGAATAACGATGCTTAGTTAGAGCACAATTTCATTTTAAATTTGTGTAACGTAAGTTAAAACTACAAACATTTTCATAAGTTCTGGCGCTTTTTCGTTAACAAAATGAACTACATCATTTAGTAATTACTATTTTATTGAAATGGTTTTAACTGGAACTTTTTATATTAGGAGAATTTAGAACAAAATCTTTTATTTTTTTTAAAGTTAATTAAAATTATTTATATAATTGCTTTTTTATTTGTTTATGAATTCTTACTTTATTTGACATAAATACACATAAATAAATAAAAATAAGAATTATGTAAATATTTGTATTTAGAGAATCACCTATGATAAAAATTTTTATATTTTTTAAATTGGCATAGAATTCTTAACATCTTGTGAAAGTTTCTAATATAAACTGCTTTACTGATTCGTAGAAATCTAAACTAAAAATTGAAGCAAATTTTTTACCTAGCTTTCTGTGTAACTAAGTTCACCCTTATTTATCCAGACTCAAAATTTTTTAGCTTATTTTATTCTTTAGACTAACAGCTTCCATGCAAAACAGCTAAAAGTTTAATTTACTGTTTAAATAGGCAAATATTTGATAAAGCTGTTGTGCGTGTAATGTAAGTTAAAAAGGAAATGCCCATATATATATATATATATATATATATATATATATATATATATATATATATATATATATATATATATATATATATATATATATATATATATATATATATATATTGAAAGTTAACATCTTTTGCCCTCGTCTGCCCTCTTCTTAAGTAGTTTATGGGAGCAATTTACAGCTGATTTTTTTAATTAGATTGGTCTAACTGATTGGTTTCTTAAATAAAAATCAGTTTCTTATAAAAATGCAATTTTGAAAAAATAAATTAATAAAACTCTGCCATAAATCTTTCTTTTAGTCAATGCTATGTCTTCTTCTTAAAGTTATTATTTAAAACAATGTTTATAATATTAAACATTTTCAAAAATACATTTAAAGAAGTAAAACATTCTTTTTTAACTTTATAACATAAAACTAATGTAAAACTATAAGCACTATATATATATATATACATATATATATATATATATATATATATATATATATATATATATATATATATATATATATATATATATACATATATATATATATATATATATATATATATATATATATATATATATATATATATATATATATATATATATATATATATATATACTAGCAGAGGTGCCCGTGTGGCTGGGCACCCGCAAAACAAATCAAAGTTGCTGGTGTACAAAAAAAACCCACCCTCCAAAAATCAATTACTTGACCAAAAAACTCTTAATCCTGGGTACTATAAAAAAACTGCCAGAGAGCCTCTTGGTATACAATACTAAAAGTTCTTCCATCTGGGGATTTTATATACACTGTACATACATTATATATATATATATATATATATATATATATATATATATATATATATATATATATATATATATATATTCATACACAATACTTCATTTGAAAAGAACAATGCCCAATGCACCAAGTTGACCACCACAAAATAAAAAAACCAAAAATGAATTAATTACCACCAAAAAACAATATTTCCCCACCCGTTCCCTGCAGCAACATGCAAAGAGCAAACCGACCCCCTGAACTGCAAACCCGCAAATGATATGTTCACCTCAGCAATCCGGTAAAAACTGAGCTACGTGCAATCCACCTACATCTATCTTTGGTGATCCAACTACATCACTATGGAAGGCTCCAGACGGAGCCAAAGAGCACCACAGAACACTCCGGAATACCCTGGAAGGTGATAAAACACTACAAATGCTCTAAAAGGTGATAAAACAGCCACACTGTGCACTATGGAACATTCTGGAAAATTCCGGATCACTCCGGAAATTTCTGTCCCACTCTGGTAAAAAATGAAACATTCCAGAAAACTCTGGAAAACAATGAAACAGGCAACAGCAATCTATGGAACACAACAGAAACCAACGAAAATCACATCAGAGATCCCTGAGGTCACACCCGAGGTCATCCACGCCCCCACCCCCGGGGGCAAGGAACAACTCTGCACTTCACAAGGAACACTCTATCTGCCTCCCCCAACCAAGAAATGACCTTTTTAAAGCCCCTACGATCCCAGGTGGCCTCTAGTGACCTCCGAGGTCAACTTGACATATGTCAAGTTGACCTCGGAGTGACAGCCTGTCACTCCCTGGGTCATGGCGATCATCCATGCCATATTTCAAGTTTCTAGGACCAACGGTCTGGCTGTTAACTGGGAACAAACAATCAAGCAATCAATCAGAATTGACAAGTATATATAAGATATATATATAATAAATATATATATATATAAATAATATATAAAATACATAAATATATATATATATTTTAAAACAAAATTGAACAAAAAATTTTTGAATGTCACTGAATACTTTTAAAAAAATTGTAAACTTAAAGTATGCATACAGTTTGACCCATAAAAAGACACTTTAGAAGGTAATTCAGAAATTCTAAGCAGCATGCTTCCGAAACAAGAAACTTCAATTCCAGTTTTCCAACAAGACCAATTGAAAAATTTTTTAATTTTTATTTTATCTCGATTTTTTGAGCTTGCTGTGTCATTACTGCGCAAATCTATTGTAGTTTTTAGATCAAAACAAGTTGACAAGGCTTCAGTTAGATTTTTATCCACTCTTATTCTAAATATTTTAAAAGTATAGTAAAAAAAAAATATTTACAAAAACCAAAAAAATATATAAAAAAGTATGTACATGTATGCTTATGTGTGTATTTATATACTTGTATATATATATATATATATATATATATATATATATATATATATATATATATATATATATATATATATATATATATATATATATATATATATATATATATATATATATATATATATATATATGTATATATATATATATATATATATATATATATATATATATATATATATATATATATATATATATATATATATATATATATATATATATCATCCCCTCAGTATTATCTTGTTCTATCTACAAATGTAATAAATAAAATGTTTCATCTAATATATAAAATAAATTCAAAAAAAAAAAAATATATATATATTCATATATATATATAAATATATATATAAGTTAATGGAATGTTCTACCTGACGTAATATATTATACTATATAAAACATTGTATTTATTTACATATAATCTTTTTTGTATTTATTTTATATATTAGATAAAACATTTTATTTATTAGATTTGTAGAAAGAACAAGATAATACTGAGAGGACGATATATATATATATATATATACATATATATATATATATATATATATATATATATATATATATATATATATATATATATATATATATATATATATATATATATATATATATATATATATATATATATACATATATATTAGGGTGCATCACAAAACAACAATTTAACAATTTTGATTTTGTCTGACATCTTATTGTGTTGTGTAGATTAAAAAAACACTGTATTTCAAATATTTTGGTACTAAAAATATTTTTAGAGGGCCCACAACACCCTTGAATATTTAATGTATCCCTAATATTTTCAAAAAAATAGTTTTTTTAAAGTAGGTCATGTTTGGTCTTAAATGAAG